TGCTGGGAGCTAAATGACTTTTTTATGCATGGGCTGCAAATATAATTATTTTTCAGACTTTGAAACACTGATTTCTCCACACATACCCCCTGCTTTTTCACTGGCCACATGCAACAGACTGTCCATCCAGGTACTCAACTTCTTGGAGCAAACAAAAGTGAACTTTTAAAATGAATGCTTAAGTACGTTTTCAGTCCTCTCGTGAGTGTGTGTCTGTCATCCAACTTGAAATATGGTAGAACAATATGCTCAGCATTGCATGATAACATGGGAGAAAGGTATAAAAGAACAGAGCTGTTGCTTTGTAGAAACCTGAAGCTCTAGTCCACCCATTGGAAGGAGATTCAGTGAAAAATGTGTGGAGGTAAAGATACGACAATGGTACACCCAGTCTGAAGGCTGCTTAGTTTAGCTTACCTGGCATTTCCAGAGTTGTGTGGTGAAGGTGTTTTTAATAGAACTCATGTATTCTCAAGAAATTAATACATATCATAAAAGTAAGCAAATGGAAGTGAGCCATTGGCTGTGGTGCTAGTTTCTCCTTGGTAATGGAAAGTATCTCACTGGAGATCTGAAGTTATCTGGAGAGAAGAGTGTAAATGCGGCCAGGTTAGTGTAATACCATAGGTTTTGTTTTATGTTCCCCACAAAATTTCATAACATAGTATCCAAGTGAAAAACTCATGGAAGATGATAAATGCTGAAAGTTGGTGCAAGCTAACTTTCTGTTTGAGAAAAATAAATTGTCTTGTGTTTTCAGAGTGTGTGTGGAAGCCCTGTTACCCGATGGAGTACTGTTTTGCATTGACTGCCTTGCACATAAGTATGACAGTGCAATGGATGATGTGTTACGTGATGAAAAACTGGTCATGCATGTACAGAGCATTTCCCACTGGGCACCTGCTAGCATAGGACCTTACAGTCAGTCCATCAAGGTAGGGAATCTTTGTTTCTTCATGTGAAATATATGTTGGTTTACTAAAATACGTACAGTTATAAAGTCTCCTTCTCTCCCATCTGAATGTTTAGAAGAAGATGTGTTAAAAAGCAAATACTTAAAAATGAACGTTTTGAATTGATATTTTTAAAAGTTATGGACAAAAAGAAAACTTAACGCTGAACAGTCTTTCATTTTGGGATCATAAAACAGGTTAAACTATTTTTTGCAGAGAAGCTCAAGAGTGGCTTACTTTTGTTGTATATTAGAATTAGACTAAATGATTGCATCACACATACGCTTTTGAAATCTGTTTGTTTAAAGCAAGTTCAAACTTCTTAATAAGTCAATCGTCGAATGCTTATTCATAAAACCCCTCTTGAAGTCTTGATACTGCTTAATCATTTTAAATACAGTAAGGTTGAAGAACTGTTCTTTTTTAAAATTAATAACAAGTTGAATAGAATATTACATACTATTTAAACATATGAAAAGGATGCAGTGTAATGGAAAAGTGGACCACAAATTTGAATAAAAAGCTTTTTTCCTCTTGCCCAGCTAGTACCGTTCTGAAAATTTATGAAGTGTCTCAACTTCTCTGATGGAAAAAATGTATGTGTCCCTTTCTTACGGATACTCCTCTTGCATAATACGTTGTCCAGTCCAAATTACCCTGTTATGCAAACTGTTTTGAGCAACATGTTATGACATCTCTTTAAATTTCCTGAAACTTCTTTAGCTCTGCAGGCCCACCTAGCATAATGGCCATGGAATTGTACTTTGTTTTGTGTTTGTACCATTGTACGTAAAATTTCAGGAATAGTATTTTACTTTAGAAGCTCATGTGGAATTTTTGTTGTTTGCAGGAAGAAGTAATAATCTTGTAGTTAGAGGAGGGGAGGGTTGTCATCTGTGTATATCCATTTTTCTTGAGAAAGCAGAAAGTTGGTTTAATAAACTTTTTTCCAGTCAGTCTTACACCTTGATGGTCATAATTGTATCACATCATGCATAGTCTTGCAAAGACAAATTTAATAAGCTTTGCACCTTTGTATTTGGAGAAACTCTTCTGATACGTCATTGAAATTAATCTGTATTCATGTTCTGGAGGTGGCGTAGACTAAATTCAGAGAAGGATGTGAACTGAAAATTGTTTTAGTAACCCAGTGACTTCAGATGGAGAGTCAGCAGGGGCTGCCATTCTCTTGGGTTTCCTGGTGGGGTGAGACAGGCACCATCACCGGGGAAAGCCTCATTTCTCTTCAAATAGCATATAGCCAGTAACTTTGGTCAGTAATTTAAACATTAAGGAAAACTTTCCACTGTTTTTTGTTTGTTTGTGTTTTCCAAGGGAACATTTTAGTCAAGTAATGTTATTTTCCCTTAAGGTGGAAAATATGCATTTTTGCCTTAGAAATCCAATGACCACAGTAGTGAAGACAAAGTAATGAAAAGCTGCACCTCTGCTACAGGGTTATTTGCTTGTCATCCTTTATGGCTGATTGTGTCTCTAGGCTACAAAAACCTGTATGGGGAACTAGTAACATAAATGCCGGCAAGAGCTTTAAATTTCCTTTGCCAGATTATGCCTTACTGCTACCACCAGTATGTCTCATCTGACTATCAGTATTTAATGCCATCCTTTATTTTGCTATTATTATCCTTTTAGTGCTATCCTATTATTTTGCTAAGAATCTTTCGCTTTTCGATAACATATTTCTGTTCTGCAGAGCTTGATCCAGTAAATGTTAAAAGAATATTCTTTTTATTTCAGAAAATGAGTTTTGTATTTAAATATCTTTTACTTTCTAAAATAGCATATAAAAGATACAACCTATAAAACCTTTTCATAAGGATACGTTACAGTGGAATACATAAGTGCATAAACAGTGTATTTGGATTCGAAAATTTATTCATAGAAGATATAGATCTTGTATTTTCTTAAATATGAATTTTCCAAAACTAAAATCTTCTGTAGGTGGGTTTTTAGAACTTTCTTGGACTATGTGTGGACAAGTGTTAAATTCTTAAGGTCACCAGTGGAAGTATAACACTTTAGTATGTTTTAGGAATGGAATATATTTTCCAGAATAAATAAGGAAGGAACAAAGATGGTTTCTTAATTTTTAGAGTCAACAAAGATTATTTGAAATTATAATGATTTTATTGTGATGAAATGTTGATCAGTTCATATATTTGAGGAACAGAAGCTTAATGATCTTAAAATAGGTAGTGGTTATTACCCTTTTGCTGTGTATCTGTAGATTTCATTTGTCACTTGCTCATCAACAATTGGACAATTAAATTGTCTTTTCAGTTCAATATGAAGTTCTGTGGACACTGCGGAATCATCATATATTTTAGCACAGTGGTTTTGTTCAGATCAAAATAGACCAAGGACTGTAATATTCAGGGTGTTGCAAGTTGGAATTGATGTGCACTGGCATGTAAGAGCGGAGCTGGCAGCGGAAAGGTGTAGGTAGTTCATGCAAACTATGGAATTCACACTTCAGGCTCAACAAATCACTCAGCAGAGCATCACTTTAATTCTGCAGGGACCTTGCAGGATCCTGCCAACAGTGCTATGAGGACAAAAAGTAAAAATTTTAAATTTACTACAAGAATGTCCTGACCTCAGTCTGATAGACAGGAAACAACAGTGGCAGAATGAGATTAGGATTTTCAAAGTATTTATAAGAAAATCAAACATTCTCTCTCTTTAGGATTAACATTCTTTAAAAACAACTTCAGTGATTCTACTTGTAAATAGTAGATATAAACTGTTGCAAGGTACAATAAAGCTGACTTTCTTATAAGAAAGACCTGAGATAATTCCATATATTTTTCTTGGGCCACCTGTTTTACTGGTGCAGAATCCTCTGCCAATCTGAATGTCTATGTCAGCAGCCAGAATGTAAGCTACGGCAAAGTTATTACACAGGCTACACTGCTGATCTCAGTAATGTATAACAAATGCTCTGATTAATTGTCTCTAATAGCAGTACCACAGACTATCTAGGCAGTTCAGTCTGGCAGCATGTGGTGATACATGGTTTGCCTTCCTCCAGACTTTTGTTGAACAGTGGGCACCAGCTCAATCCGTGCTGGTCATTGGTAGTAGCTCAGTATTTTTCCTGAAGACACTTCATGTTTTTACTTCTTACTGTTTTTATCAGATTATTATTTTATGTTCATGTTTTACTTCTGTGTTACCAGTGGATTAGAGGTTTTGTCCCAACTAAGCAGTAAGTGGTAGTTTACATAGAAACAACTTACCGTCATCACAAAAGGTGACAGCACAGTTGGACATCAGGGAGTTAAGCGTGAGGATACATTGCAAGCAGTGTCTGGGGTGAGACATTTATACTGAGAGCTTATTCAGGATTATTTATTTTGTGAGAACATTCTTTGAGCATTTATGAACTGTGAGCATAGGTCATTAAAAATATTTTTTAAAAAAGGAGCCCAGTGCATCTGAAACACTAACTGAAAATACTTGACTAAGAACATGGGGAAAGTTGACAGTGTTTGTACCAGATGTTCTTCGAGTATGTTAATATAATTTCAAAGTCTGTTTGCACTTATAATTTGTTTGCTTTGGCAAAGTTTCTTAGTGTTTTTCTATCTGGAAATGAACAAAAAACCTGCCGCAGTAGAATTTATCTTACTCTGGTGTTCTACAGTCAGTTTTGATTGTGACATAATGTATTTTATACACTTACCAATAAGTATATAACTATGACTTGATTATAGGTGTTGAATTTTTAGCTCTTTCATGTGGCCTCAGTTTTTTTCCCTCTGACTGTTTCAGAATCCCAGTTTCAGCCATTCTTCAGGCATCTTTTTCTCAGGTTTCTCCTTCACACTGTCTGGACCCAACTGCACAAAGATAAAAAGCAAATTAATGTTCTTACTGTCTGATTCCAATGCCCAGATACCTATAAGTCAATCAGAGTTGGGGTGGGTTTTTTTCCTGTTTATTTACTTTACAATAAGAGTTTTTTTCCTTTCATTTTTCTGATCATCAGGACATGATGAATTAGCAGGTAAGTACTGTGGGAACAAGAGTGCAAATAGAGAGTCTTGTGTTTGGTGACACTTAACGCTGATTCTAATGTTTCCATGATGAGTTCCTTCTCTTGCATTGAAACTGAAAACAGTGTGGTAGATCTCAGTGCAGAATTTGTAGCAGATGGCTTTAAAAGAGGAAGGTGGTGTTGGAAATAGCCTTGTCTGTTGTGTACACGAGGGAAGATTACCTGGCTACTTAAACTGTCTGACTGGTTTCAGATTTGCAAAAACGTTCTTAGCTGGTGTTAAACAAAATGCATTTTAAGGAATCCATGCATTTAGGGATGCAAGGGTTATCCTTGTCAGATCAGCTGAAGAAGGGTGAAGACAGAATGATTTCCAAAAATTCTGGAAAATATCATTGTATGATTCTTAAAGATATAATTAACCCTTTAAAATGCTGGGATTTTCACATACATATACCTGATGTTTGTTTGCTTAATTCCCAGCTTTTCCTTTTGTGATTCAACAACAATATATTATATAGTGGTGTGGAGGTAGCATACTTGGACCTTACAGTAGGTGGAAAAATGAGAAGAGGTACTCAGCAGTTCAGAATACTGTTGCTTAAGGATTGATACTTGCAATGATACCGTTAACATCTTAATCAACAATTTGGGCAGTGGGATCGAATACATGCCTAGCAGGATTGTGGATGACAGTAATTTGGATAGTGGTTGATGCATTAAAGGGCAGGACTGCCATTCAGAGATACCTGGACAAGCAACTAATAACACAAGCCTCATGGAATCGAACAGAAATGAAGGAAAAGTCTTGTGGCTGGGATGGAATAGCCCCATGTTGCAGTGCAAGGTGGGGACTGACTGTCTAGGTAGTAGATCTGCAAAGAAGTAACTAGAGGTCCTGATTGTCAGCTGTCTAAAAACAATTGGAAGTTCACCATTGCAGCAATGAAGGCTAGCCAAA